GAGGACAGTAACTGCCCAGCACAGTAAGGAGCCCATCCGCCCTCACTGCCCTCCCTCCCTGCAGCACAGGCATCCACACCCAGCCAGAGAAAGGCATCGTTTCCCTAGCTTGGGCCACCACTTCATGCTTGCTGCAGCCCTCCCTCACCTTCTTCAAATGTCATCCTTCCACTTGGTCCTTTCCTACACCCTGGACTGGAACATATTGACAGAAAGGTCTTTTTTCTTCCCATTTGTCTTCCTGGGGACTTTCTCTTGTTATCAGTTCTCAGCAACACAGAGGAACCAGTCAAAGATCTGAAATGGGCTTCTGCCCAACCAGTTTCCATGGCTTGTTGCATCTCCCCATTATTTTGATGCCCAAGGTCTTGCAGTATGGACCCTGTCTGGGGGCTTGAAAATGGAGGGATGCTGCCAGTCTGATTTGGCTGCAGTAACCGACATGGTTTTGGCGGGACACCAGTTGTACCGTTTCCCCAGGGGATGAGGGCTGACTGGGTACTAGCTTGCTCTGGTCCTTAGGCTCACAGGACACTTATTTTCTCAAAAAGGGTAGTGCTACTATTGAAAGGATAGGAAGGTGGGAAGAGAAAAGATAAATATAAAATGGAATAGAAACAGATCATGTGCATTAGTCAGCCTTTTCAATGCATAATAAAAAGCATTTATAGGAGATTAAATTCAAGCCTTGTGTAAGTGAAAGAGATGTTGTACTTGCTTTCTGTAAGAGACTGAATTTTATCTAAGCAGCTTTGCATTTTCTAAAAAAAAAAAAAAGGCACAAATGTTGACATCTACAAACCTACCTCTCCTACAATTTCTTTTAATAATCTGATGGCTTCTTCTTACATGCCAAACAGTTTGCTTTCATTTTAAAATCATCAGTTGTTGACTTGCTTCCTTTCTATGGTTGTTTTGTTTTATTGCTTTGCCCTTCAACTACCCTTCCCTAACAATTTTTATGATATTTGCTCCAATACAGAGAACTTCAGCACTGTTTGGTATTCCTACTTGTAAAAATAAAGTACAAAATAAGGCACATTAAAATATTAATAATTTGTTGTCACACTTTTTAAAGATTGTACTGTTGAGGACAAAAACAGGCACTGGCAAGAATGTAAAGAGGCAAAAGTGGAAAAGATAAAACAACTACAGCTTATCATGTTGAAACAAATCTTTCTTTACTATATGTATGGTGAAATATGTTCATGTAGACTTAATAATTTCTTTGTAAGAATTTGGGAAATCTGTCCACCTCTCTTTGTTCCCTTAGTCTAAACATTCATACATTTTCCAGTATTTCATCACTCCCAAGCACTTACTCCCCCCCTAATCTTTTCTCTATCTATTTCTATATCTTTCATGTGCTATCTACCTGAGATCTTGTGCTAGCTTCCCTCTTTTATTTAGTATTTCATAAATCATTATACAAATTCAAAAGAAAAAGTAGTCTTTTTTCCCTTATGCCCTTAAATTGAACCATCTTCTTCCACAGGTTGGAAGGACTCATTGACAGACACACACACAACCTAGCTGTATTTAATTCCTCCTTTCTGTCACCCCATTTCATTCAGAAAAGAAAAAAGGAATATTGAAACACTATTTAACCTTATTACCACAGCTAGATGAAGCAGTCCCCCCTTGTTTCCCTGTTCCTATGTTACGTGACTCACTTCCTAAGCCAGACACTGTCTCTTTGGTACCTTTTACTTTTGCATGCATTAATGTACATCCCTATACACATGTAATTTCACACTCAGTTTTCTGTACTCTTATGATCCAGAGGTCAGTGTGTGATAAACCGTTCCTTAAAAAGTGACAGAAGAGTAAAGGCTCAGATAAGTTTTTAATCTAGGAAGGGAAGAGACTGAGAAGAGAGATAATGAATTTTATATACATAAAAGGTAGTTGCAACAAGGAATGGAGGAGATCTTTTCCGTGATCGTTGAGAATAGGACAAGAAAGAGTGTGTTTAACTTTGCAGCAATGGAGCTTAGAAATACCCTTTTTGTAGTTACAGTAGTGAGGCACTGGAATAAATTGCCTTTTAATGGAGTCTCCAGAAAGGAGACTTGTAAGCACTGGTTAGAAAGCCATTTCCCAGGACTAGTATATGTGTGATTGATCCTGCTGCGAGACAAGAGGTGGGTTAGCTCCCTTTCAGTCCAGTGTTTTGTCATTCTTCAGCACTTTGTTGCAAGCAAGTAAACTTGTGGGCTAAAGGAAGCAATGTTATATATGAGCAGTGACACACAACAAAATACACTATTTGCATCAACCACTGCTAGAGGAAACCTTGTTGCATTTATTCCTATCCAGGAACAAAGATGAGGTACTATGAGACATAGTCAAAAGAAATGTCCAAAAAGTCAGAAGAAGAGATAAAGGGAGAATCAATGATACCAAATTAATTACATAAACCAGTGACTATATAAATCAAGAAGAGTCTATGTTTATTATGTGTAGTTTTAGTGTGTTTTAGTGTGTTTAACCTATGTTAAGTATGTTAGAAGACTGCAGGAGACACATTTTCATGGAGCAGGTGAACTACAGGATCTCTTCCTTAGAAATATCCTACTGTATTACGTTGTTGGTAAGAGGCTAAATTACTTTCATTTACTAAATCAATACTGAAGTTCCCATATGTCTCTGTATGCTGTACTTGGGGGATTAGGAGTACCCAGTATATGCTCATATCAATAGACATATTGGATGAACTGAATATGTTCTGCTATCTGTTTCATATAGCAGCTCTGCTAACCTGATCTAATGGTCTTTCCTGAGCTTTGAATATACGTGAAGCATCTGGCTTTGCTAGGAAAATGAGGCTAAACTGTAGATCTTTGTTTATAAAGCATGAAAGCAGTGTGGTGGGGTTAAGCTACTGTCAGAAAAGTTACTCTTTTGCTTAAGATAACCTGTCTCCTTTTCACAAAGACCCTGTGTTTGGCATTTAGACAACACACACAAGCTATGGGTTGGAGTTTTTCAAGGGGAGAATTAGATAATTCTGTTTGTTTATGTGACTGCAAGCTAAGGCCTTGCCCTTTAACTTGTCCTATCGCTATAACAGAAATAAAGAGCTGATCTAGCTCAGGTTTTTGACAGTAATCACGCATGAGCAGTTTGGCCAAGATCTGATATTGCACTTACTGCCAGGTCACAGGGAGAGAAATCTTGAGGTCTTTTCATTTCTTACATCTTACCTGTGCAACGGAAAGGCAGCTTAGTCAGTGCTGAACAAATGCCAAGATCTGACTAAGGATTTATCCAAAATGAGAGCACAAGAGAAATGTCTTGTTTTGGACACTGTGTTGTTTTGGAAATTTTTTTCAGGCTCTAGAGTCACAGAAGTCAGTGGAAGCCCTGCCACAAATTGCAGTGGTCAGGCCCTATTCAGGGTCCATCCACTTGCCATCAACCTTGCAGAAATCCTCTATGTCACTCCTATGGGGCCATGGATTGAAGTACTCTAGGAGGAGCCCCTTGGAGCCAGCTCCAGTTATCCCATTTCTTTTATGGGCCAAAACTAAATGGCCTCGTTGCTGCTTCTCTCCTATGAGGAACTTAAACACAACATTGTCTAAAGCAATGACAAGGTTATGTCAGAGAGCTCCATTGTGCAGTCTCTGACAAAGACATCCAGGCAATTCCTCTGGATGGTGGCTTTGGTTTACTGTGTGCCCTTTCAGCCAGAGAAGCGTCTGCTCTGTCTGAAGTGCAGCATGATAAAGAGGTCAGAAATAAGTAATACATTTACCCCGTTATTGCAGGGACAGAGCTTAAGTGGCCACAGCTTCAACTGAAAACTCACTTTTGAACCCATGAGTTGGCATAACCATGGGAGTCGCTTGTCATTTTAATGACATCTTTGCAGCATGCCTGGAGAACCAGAGGGTTAACACAGCTTCGCTTTTCAGAAGGGAACTGCACCACTCTGGTTCACCTACCTCTCGACATGCCTGGGTAGGTTTTCCATGGCTGCGCCAGCCCCCCTGGCCCAGGCACCCCACGCGGGGCGGCGGCGGGGTGGAGGATGCCCTTTGGGGCTGCAGCAGTGTTGTCAGCGTGAAGCAGGGCTGCTCACCTGAGTCCTGCCAGTGCTGCACAGGGTGGGGGGAACAACCCACCGCCTCTCCGTGCTGCACTAGTGGGGCTTTCTCCTTTTCCTTGCAAAGCTCCCCTGCAGGGCAGCTGAGAGCATCCTGGGGAGGGTGAGCGAGCCCCGCGGGGAGGAGGGAGGTGGGGGAGACCATCCCCTCTCCCTGCTGCTGTTGCTGAAGCTGTGCCGGAGCCGTCGATGTGGCTCCCCAGAGTTAGTTGCTCAGCAACCAGAATCAATTAATATGCTTTGCAGAAAGTGCAGGGGAAGCCCGAGCTGCTGTCAGCGAGAAGGCAGGAGGCTGAGGGTGACTCAGGATCCCACTCCCGCCTGACACCCAGTCGGTCCCACCCCGTCCTCTCCAAACCCCCCGTTAGCCACCGTTCTTTATCCCTTTCTCCTTCTCTACAATGACTTAGAGCGTGTATCCCCAAATCCTTCAGGCAAGGTATCTCCTTGCTCAAGAACTCTCCTGCTTTGAGGGTTTTGCTTTTAGATCTAATTTGTATTTTGGGGTTATTTGTCAAGCTTTCTCCAACACTTTTCTAGAAATTCTAATATTCATGGTCTTTGGGAAGGGAAAGGGACAGCTGATGTTTTTATCAGATGGTTTTAAAGATTCCTCAGGATGAGAAGGGTTGTTTGGTAGCGCACAGTTGAGCAGCAGTAATGAAAATGCATCATGTGTGAACTGGGAAAGTTTTTGTCTCTTCCTTTATTACAGGTAATCAGCACTGCATATATGCGACCAAAGAGGTAGTACTGATTGTTGTGAAACACATAGATAATAGCATAAATGAGGAGTAGTTGGGCTTTTTTCTTCTCCTTTTCTGCATAGTAATTTCAGGGCTTCGGTAAGTTACTATTTTCTTTTTTTCTTTCTTTCTTTGATTTTCTTTGGAGTCCCTCTGATGACACCATGAATATGGGAATGAAGAACTTCTTGGAGCTGATTGGAAATGGCATTGCGGAGCTGAAACTTAACTGGAGGAAATATATCTCCTGAAGAAGAATATATAATGCATTGTAAGGATCTGACTTCTGGTGAAAAATTCAAGCCCAGAGAAAACTTGTCCGCTTTGTTAGGAAGAATGGGTTGGACAATTTTCTTCAATTCCAAAGGATATCTGAATGCCATGCTGAGCTTAATCTCTGCAGCATGCTCTGTGCTTCTCATCTCTTCCTGATGCACTGCATGGTAAGGCCTTTTTCCTTCCTTTTAATAATAACCATATTTCTGTTATGGTGAGAGGTAAAAATAATAGCAATAATCAAATGAAAATTGAAAAAATGTAGAAAGCTAACAAAAGAACCTTTGTTTGTATGGTTGTTTCCAGGAGCAAGTGTCCTGATTACTGCAGCAGCTTTGTAAGATCATTTCTGTCTTTCTCCCTTGCTTTGTGACAGTGTGTATGTGCATGTGTGTGTTTGTGCACACCTGTGCTGTCATTTGCACTTGGACTGGAACATCAGTAGCTGTATTGTACATATTTCCATGGTAAAGAGGATGTTTAAGAATTTGCTTTGACATTTCTCTCTCTTTTTCCCTCCCTCCATTCCCCTCCTCCTGCCTCCTCTTTCTCTCCGTCTGTCTGTCTGTCTGTCTCTCTGGGGTCATGGTGCTATACCTTCCCTGCACCTCAGTCGTGCACTGACCACTAGAAGGCAAAAATAGAAGGTAAAAGAAATCCTGTATCAATGTAAGAATAGTTCTGAAAAAGTATTATCTGAGAAAATAAAAGCTACAGAAGGGTTTTGAACGTCTGCAAGATCTGCAGGTACAAAAGATTTACTTTATTTTGTTTCCCATGGGAAACAAATATCGAATGCAGACTTGGATGCTGTGTTTTAGATACAGTGGGAGGCAGATCCTTTTACACATGTCAGAAAGCCAAAAAATCACCACTGTGAATTACGACAATGTTGCTCTTGATGACCCAAGTCATAAAATAAGCAAACCAGTATGAGATGTTCTCATATCAAGTAATTTTTGTCATGTATTATTGGGGAGTTGAGAATTATTATAAATAGCTTCAGTGGATGTTGCAAGATATTTTTCATTAACAGCTGTAATGTGCTTTCATCTTTCTGGATGAAAGGTGCTAGGGGAATGCAAGGTGATGTTATTAACTAACTACCCAACTTACCAAAATTTAGGGTCATTATCAGGAAATTGCCAAGCAGATCAGGAATTATATAGTGAGTTCACTGAGATGGAAGAACAAGTTAGTTTTCAGAAAGGCTGGTTTACTTGGATCTCTGTTTCAGAAATTAGGGTAGAACTAAAAAATGAAAGAGTGGTGATGTGAAATATATATATTTTCTTATGCATTCTGGTTGATCACTGAGTTTGGAAGAGGGAAAGTTGAGTGCCTCTTGAGGAGCAGACTGTGGTAAGGGCCTGCCCCCGCTCTGAGGGTAATCACTCACAAATCCCACTGCTTTTGATGGGTTAGAAAAGGACCAGGAGCAGGTTTGTGTGGCGGTTGTCACGGGCTGTCCAGCTGGGTATGAAGGTGATGGGTTCCTGGCAGCAGGTTTTGAGGATGAGAGGAATGCAAGAGCCAAAGCAAAAAGGCCAGGCCAGGCCACACCAGGACTCATGAACAAGAATCAGAGCTTAAATCCTATTCAAAAGATGGAATTTTGTGGTAGTTCCCAATACATCTCCTCCTTGTATGATGCAGGAGTCCCTAAGACAGTTTTTAGAGACAGAATGGTAATGCAGCTTTTTCAAATCACTGCAGGAGGAGGAAACAGAGATGATACAAACACTATTTATTGTCACACTATTATTCCTGTAGTGTGGCAATTTTTCAGTAGGGTTCAGAGGAACCAGCCTTGATTTTAGGAGTAAAGGTTCAAAATATGCATACATGTGCATTGAAGTAGATTTTTTGTGTATTTTACCATCTAAAATGTGTGACTAGTATAAGAACCAATAAGGAAAACTGAGGAAGGACAACACAACCCATAAATGTAATCTTCCAAACTTCACTGTTGAAAGAAGCTCTTACTTGTGGAAGTAGTCCCCTCAGCTCTTTATGTGAACAAGGACTGCATCCTAAATTCAAGTTTCCCATTGCAAATCTCTCCTCACATCAGCAGTTCTATTTCAATCAATGGGACAAGTCGTGTGAGTAAGAACTACTCGTGAATAAATTATGAAAGTTTTTATAAGACCAGGCTCTTTGATTGTCATGGCAACAGATTTATTAGGCTTCAGGCATAATTTGTATTTCCCTTCTAAACAAAATCATTTTTCCTTTTACCCATGTGAATCCTTTTGCCTTGTAATTAGGACAAGAAGAATAGGTTAATTACATTCTTAAAGATCATGCAACTGTACAGATACATTGTTAGTGAAGAGTTATCAGAGTATGCAAAAATTTACTGTTATTAGTGGTCTCCAAATCCAAGAGAAGTGTGTTCTTACTGGAATCATTCATTGCCTTATTTATTTTTCTGACAGTATTAACATTGCTACTAGGTATTGTCAATTCTTCCGGCAACTCATAAAAAAAAAAAAAAGAATTCCTTTAAAATATCACTGAACTTATAAAAGTAATCACTATTATTAAGTTCAAGGATACTGACCAAGCTTTCTACTACATTAAATATGTTCATTTTTTAGTTAATACATGATGTTTAGCTCTTTAGTTGATCAAGGAACATATTTATCTTTAGGGTATAGAAACACAATATGAAGTCATAATTGTAGTAAGCTTCCTACAGAATATAGATAGATATTGAAATAGTAAGCATAAAATCATCTGGATTTTCTTTCCCTGTGCAATTTTGCATGCTTATAAATGCCTATATTATTAGGATATGTATTACACAACAAGTAATATTTCCTTCACTGTAATTTATAAAGAACAGTTTCTTTTCAGAATACAGTGCATAGGAATTTTTTTGCGCTAGGTTATGCATTATGGAAGAAAGAAGAAATATTAGAAAAAGCAAGCATAGCAACCTTTAAAATGTATCCAGTACACTAATGCAGCAATAGGTTCGTTTGTTTCTTTTATGAAACACGTTAAACCACGACACCCTATAATAGCAATATATATGTAGCAAGAATAGTGGATTATTTTCTAAAGAGTGTGTGATTTTGAAAGAGAAGGTTTTGCACGATACAGGATGTTTGTTGTCTTTAGCAGACATTTCTGTCAATGATTTACTGTGACTTAGAACTCTTTCTTTAGTGACATTTTTAATCATTTACTTTAAACATTTGCACAACAGCTGTATTTGGCTTTCTCTGTCAATTCTAAAGCAAGTAAAATTAGTAATTCCCTTTTCTTTTAAGATACTATTCAATAAAGGTCTGATGCTGAAAACACATGTATTTCATTTCAGTCCATTGAACTGTTTCTTTAGATAAACTATGTGAATTAGAGCTTGAACCATCTGCATTATCAGGGAAGTTATACTGAACAGTGGAAATACATTCCACACTTACAGCAAGTATTTCTAGTCAAGAGAAATGTACTTTAATAATACAACACATAAGCAGTTCCTGGACTTGGAATGTCTTGAGCTGTCTTGATCCAAGATCCAGCAAAAACCTGATTTTTGAAAGGCCCGCAAAAAACCCCAAAACAAAACCAAATGAGTCTTAAACTTTTGTTGTTTAAACATAAATAGCCACAGAAAGAATATTTATCTGACAAGAAATTTCAGTACATCAGCATCTGTGTTTTTAATAAACCAGGATAAAAAATTGAAAAGGCATAATGTTTTTAAAAAATTAAAAGCTCTAAAAATCTATATGTATGCGAATACTGATTTCAAAATGACACAACATTTCATTTTAACATTTTTAATCAGACTTTCATTTGTTACAAAAAATTGTACTGAGATCTGTTTATCTGTTTTTCTCAGTGAAAATTTGCAACTCAATTTTTTTTTTTGACAGGGAAATGTTTTGTTATATATTTTTAACTAGATCTGTTATAGCTGTCCCAATATTTATTGGCTCTCACAGGTCAGCTCTTTAATTAGAAGTTCTCTGAAGGGCCATCTTTAGCCCTACATGTTGTATAGCCCCATATTACTAATACTGAACAGCAGTTCTTACCAGGTCTGCGGCAGATGTAAGCTCTGATTGCGATTCCCTCCTTTAATTCTTCTTGTGTCTTCAACAAAAAGCAGGCATCTGTTTTGCTGAGAGTTTTACAGATACCAGAAGAAGTAGTTTCTACTACAAAAACCTTCAAGAGGCCTTCAAAAGGCATGCAGGCAAGGAGTAGAATTAATCGAGTATTAATATCCTTATTAAATAGATAAGAAACTGAGGAACAAAGAAACTGCCCAAAGCTATACTGGCAAGGGAAGAGTTTGGAATTGAACCCAAATGTCCTTATTCTCAGTTCACCGCTGTCCCTGCAAGGTTGCTCTTCATTTTGTTCATTTTTTTGCTTAATGACTTGCATTTGGACTTTTAAGTTAATACTAGTTGAAGTATCAAATGTGAAAGGGAATTATTGATGCGTACTTCCTTCCCAGTCTGAAACAGTTGTCCTAAAAATTCTTTTTTCTTTCCTGAGCCATTCTGTTTGAATGTAACCATTAATTATGTAATTGCTTTACTACACAGGGGAAGTATATCCTAGATTAAAGAGAATATTACTAAATAGAAATATCCTAAACATGCCATACAGTTTCTGGGGGATGTACATGTGTATCTGTTTATGCTGTCAGGGTATAGGGATAGCTGTGGGGGTTTGTAATGGTTTTGAGGGCTCCTGGTAAGTGAATCAAATTTCAACACAGAAAAAAATCCAGTTAAAACGTAAAAAGACTGATGATTTGCTATCTAGAATTCACACAGGTCATTATGAATCCAGCACTTGTGCACAAAAAGATGACACAGAGAATATGGTACCTAACAGTGATTCTTATTAACCCCAGTATGCCTCCTCTGTCCAAGGTAATCTTTCAGCTTTTTATCCACTTTATGAAAAAGGAAAAGGCAGTTTGTACAAAAACTACTTAGCTGCTAAAATTACATCTGAAGTTGGGGAAAAATATCTGCCTTGGCATCTTACTGTAAGCCCAGGAAAATTTTGTACATGTCAAGAAGGAAAAAAACTTTTCACAAATGTACCAGAGTTTTGGAATGAGTTCTGCAGCAGAATATCCCAGAAGCTTAAGGGGTATCTGCCTCACCCTGGTCTATTTATACAGCTCTAA